GGTTTTTGGGGGTTTTGAGGATTCCCAGGGGGGTTTCGGGGGTCCCGGGGGTGATTTTGGGGTGATTTTGGGCGATTTTGGGGTCCCCAGGTGACATCTTCGAGAGCTTCTCGGAGGTTCTGGGGTGATTTTGAGGGGATTTTTGGGGGTCCCTGGCTGGGTTTTGGGGGTCCCTGGCTGGGTTTTGGGGGTCCCTGGGTGGGTTTGAGGGTCCCGGGGGGGTTTTGGGGGTCCCAGGGTGATTTTGGGGTGATTTTGGGCGATTTTGGGGTCCCCAGGTGACATCTTCGAGAGCTTCTCGGAGGTTCTGGGGTGATTTTGAGGGGATTTTTGGGGGTCCCTGGCTGGGTTTTGGGGGTCCCTGGCTGGGTTTTGGGGGTCCCTGGGTGGGTTTGAGGGTCCCGGGGGGGTTTTGGGGGTCCCAGGGTGATTTTGGGGTGATTTTGGGCGATTTTGGGGTCCCCAGGTGACATCTTCGAGAGCTTCTCGGAGCACCCCCCGCTGCTGCTGCCCACCCGCGGCTTCCGCCTGCGCCTGGGGGTCCCGCTGGGCCCGGGGGGGCTCCTGCGCCCCCTCCTCAAAATCCGCCGCCGCCTCTGGGAGCTCGAGGGGGGCGAGGACCTCTGAGACCCCTCCCCAAATAGCCGAGACCCCCAAAAAACCCCCTGAGACCGCCCCAAAATACCCGGAAACCCCCCCAAAAGCGGGGGGGGTTTGGGGATATTTTAGGGGATATTTTGGGGGATATTTTGAAATTATTCCGGGGATTTTTTGGGGGTATTTTGGGAATATTTCAGGGATTTTTTGGGGAGATTTCGGGGATTTTTTGAGGCTATTTCAGGAATATTTCAGGGATATTTTTGGAAATATTTTGGAATATTTCGGGGATTTTTTGGGAATATTTCGGGGATATTCTGGGGATATTTTGGGAATATTTCAGGTACATTTCGGGCACATTTCGGGGATATTCTGGGCACATTTTGGGGCACTTTTGGGGCACATTTTGGGGATATTCTGGGCACATTTTGGGCACATTTTGGGGTACATTTGGGGCACATTCGGGGATATTTTGGGCACATTTCGGGGATATTCTGGGGATATTCCGGGCACATTTTGGGGTACATTTCGGGCACATTTGGGGCACATTTGGGGCACATTCGGGGGATATTCTGGGCACATTTTGGGGATATTTTGGGCACATTTGGGGCACATTTTGGGGCACATTTGGGGCACGTTCGGGGCACATTTGGGGCACATTTCGGGCACATTTTGGGGATATTTTGGGGATATTCTGGGCACATTTCGGACACATTTCCCGTACATTTTGGGGATATTCCGGGCACATTTTGGGGATATTTTGGGCACATTTGGGGCACATTTTGGGGCACATTCCGGGCACATTTTGGGGCACATTTTGGGGATATGCGGGGCACATTCCGGGGACCCTTCCCGCCGCTCACCGCTGACGTTGAAGCGCAGCTGCGACCCCGCCCGCCCGGCCGGGCCCCGCATCAGGCAGCGGTAGCGCCCCCCGACCCCCGCCCCC